ATCTCCAAACTTTCTAAGAAAAGGGCCCATTTACTGCCCTTCAGGCTTTGTAGTCAACAGGAGTAGAAAATGTCCAGAACCCCATCATTGGTTATAATGGGAGGAATAGTGACTCATTGTGATATCAGTTAGAAGAATAGTGCCGCATTTATGGTGTCAGTAGGGGGGGGGGGGGGGGGTGCTCCATCATTGGTGTCGGTTGGTGGAATTGTGCCCCAAGATCCAGATAACAGCAAGCAAAAGGCCACACTTGGCCCCTGGTCATAGTTTAGAGACCACTGCTCTAAAGGGTCCAAGGCCCAGGTTTAGAGACGCATTCTTGCTACTTATAGCTTGCAAGAAAAAGTAAACCGATGAAAGGGGACACTCACCTGTCATTAGACCCTTTCATTACAGAGGAAATGGAGGACACCTGGCCCCTTGCCATAGTTTAGAGACCACTGCTCTAAAAGGTCCAAGGCCCAGGTTCAAAGATGCATTCTTGCGACTTACAGCTTGCAATAAAAAGTAAACCGATGAAGGGGACACTCACATTTTATTAGACCCATTCATTACAGAGGAAATGGAGGATAACTACATAGGACCCCTTTGGAGATGACTGGTAATAACTTTAAGACGTATGTATTTTATTTTACAGAGGTGTGAAATTGGTGTGAAAGAAAGATGAAGATTCTACTTCTCCTCCAGTTATTCATCTCGCTGGTCTTTGGAACCAACCCTGACCAACAATATCAAGGACAGGGCAATTACCCTCACCCCGAATGGAAAGAAGAAGTAACTCGGTCCCAAATGGACTTTGCTGTGAGCATTTACCAACAAATTTCAACGCCAACAATAAGACCTCCACCAAAAATTTTTCTTTCACCCGCTCAGCATCTACATAACCCTTTCCATGGTGGATCTTGGTGCCCATGGTAAAACTCGGGATGAAATCCTCAACGCCTTAGGCCTGAATGACAAAGACACAGTGTTGCATGAGGGCAATAAAAAGATCCTTGATGCAATACGTCAGCAGACCAAAGGCGAGGAATTCAAGCTTGGTAATGAGGTCTTCATCAAAAAGGGAGGTTTTTTACCGCATTTCCAAGACTATATGGAGCTCTACTACAATGCCCCTATTAAATACCATCAGCTTCAGTGACCCCCAAGCTGCTGAGAAAACAATCAATAAGCTCGTGAGTGACAAAACAGACCATAAGATACAACATATTGTCCATGACCTGAGCCCAGAAACATCGATGGTTCTCCTAGATTATGCACTCTTTCTAAGTAAGTCCATTTTTACCTTTGACTAAAGAAAAATAGATATTGGAGAAACAAATGTTACAAAAACACCAGATACAACAAACATTTCACTATCTTTTACAAGAGCCTATATTTACCATAAGGCACTTGTAGGTCAATCGCTAGATCTCCAGGCTAACGAGCACCACGAGACCTAAAATTTACAAACTGATATTTTTTTTTTTCCTTTCATTTTGTTTGCATTATATGTCCACCTCTGAACATTTGTGGCTAAATTGATCAAGACAGCTGAAGAAAGAGTTTATTATTATTATTATACAGTATTTATAAAGCGCCAATAGTTCGCTCAGCGCTGTACATTACAAAGGGGGACAGAACAATACCAATACAATGTGATACATGAGGAGTTCGAGGGCCCTGCTCCTTGGATCTTACAATCTAGGAGGGAGGGGATGGTGGCACAGGAGGAAATAGCTGTGGGGGATGGAGTGGTAGGAAAGGTGGAGGAGGTTGGGAATTAGCAGGGGGTTGGGTAGGCTTCTCTGAAGAGGTGGGTTTTCAGGGTGCAAACCTAAAGGAGAGGAGAGTAGGTGATAGTCTGAAGGATTGGGTTAGGGAGTTCCAGAGGATGGGTGACACCCTGGAGAAGTCCTGGAGGCGGGCATGGGAGGAGGAGACCAGGGAACTAGAGAGAAGGAGGTCTTGTGAGGAGCGGAGTGTGCGTGTTGGGTGGTACTTGGATATTAGGTCAGTGATGTAGTTCGGGGCAGTATGGTGGACAGCTTTGTACGTCAGTGTTAGGATTTTGAATTTGATCCGTTGCGCAATCGGAAGCCAGTGGCGGGATTGGCAGAGGGGGGTGGAGGACACTGAATGGAGGCCAGTGGAGGGATTGGCAGAGGGTTGTGGCGGAGATGGAGCGGTTGGAAAGGTGAATGAGTCTGACAGCCGTATTCAGGATGGACTGAAGCGGGGATAGCCAGCGGCGAGGCAGGCCAGTGAGGAGGGGAGTTGCAGTAGTCGAGTCGTGATATGATGAGGGAGTGGATGAGCTGTATGGTGTTTTCTGGGGTTAGGAACGTGCGGATTTTGGCGATGTTGCGGAGGTGGAGTCTGCATGTTGCGGAGGTGGAGTCTGCATGTTGCGGAGGCGGAGTCTGCATGTTGCGGAGGCGGAGTCTGCATGTTGCGGAGGCGGAGTCTGCATGTTGCGGAGGTGGAGTCTGCATGTTGCGGAGGCAGAGTCTGCACGAGTTTGTTAAAGATTGGACTTGGGGCTGGAAGGATAGGTTGGAGTCCAGAATGACACCAAGTACTCTGGCCTGCAGGGCGGGTTTGATGGTGGCATTGTTGGATGTGACGGAGATGTCAATGGCGGGTGGTGTCCAGGCTGGGGGGAAGACAACAAACTCAGTTTTGGAGAGGTTCAGTTTAAGGAAGTGGAGCGACATCCAGTCTGATATGTCGTTTAGTAGGTGTGTGATTCGGGCGGAGACGAGGGGGTGAGGTGGGGGGTCGAGAGATAGATTTGTGTGTCGTCGGCATAGAGGTGGTAGTTGAAGCTGTGAGAGTGTATGAGTTGGCCAAGGGAGGAGGTGTAGATGGAGAAGAGAAGGGGCCCGAGGACGGAGCCTTGAGGGACCCCAACAGAGAGGGGGAGGTAGTAGCATTATAGGTAACGCTGAAAGAGCGTTGTGACAGGTGTGTATGCTGCGAAGAGTCAGAAGGCTCTTCACAACATGAGGCCATCTCTTCTTTCTCTTGTTTGGTGGTGGGTACGGTTGGACAGTATGCCAGCATATTAATCAGATTACAAGTTGCCATCGGTAGCTCAATCTATCTTTAGGTTCTACTGAAATAGACACAGGGGGCAGAGCTTGCATAAAAGGACATTATCATTTAAGAGTGCCTGTGGTGGCATGGCGTCCAAACACAACTTTGTATACCAATAGGCAGGAAAAGTAGATGTTGCCTTTGGCTACCTATAGACATGAGCTAACCATTGTTTGTTTATAATAATAATCGGTGAGTATGGTGGTGATCAGGATGCTGGTAGGGGATATACCAGTGATCCGGGCACTGGTATGGGTATGGCAGTGATGTGGCATATGGTGGTGCTCAGAACACTGGTGTGGCGTATGGTGGTGATCAGGTCGCTGGTGTGAAGTATGGTGGTGATCAGCATACTGGTATGGTGTATGGCAATGATCAGGATGCTGGTATGGGGTATGGCAATGATCAGGATGCTGCTATGGGGTATGGCGGTGATCAGGGCACTAGTATGGGGTATGCCAGTGATCAGGGCACTATTGTGGGGTATGGAGGTGATCAGGAGGTTGGTATTGCATACAACAGTGATCAGGGCAGTGGTGTGGCTTATGGCAGTTATTAGAACTCTGGTATGGGGTTTGGCAATAGTCAGGAGGTTGATATGGCATATGGCGGTGATTAGGCCGCTGGTATGCAGTATGGTGGTGACCAGGACTCTGATATGGGGTGTGGCGATGATCAGGATGCTGGTATGAGGTAAGGCTGTGATCATTACATTGGTATGGTGTATGGCAGTAATCAAGGCACTGGTATGGCATATGGCAGTGATTAGGACACTGGTATGCAGTATGGTGGTGACCAGGACTCTGATATGGGCTGTGGCAATGATCAGGACATTGGTATGGGGTAAGGCAGTGATCAGGATGCTGGTATGGGGTATTACGGTGATCAGGGAGCTGGTATGGGGTATTGCGGTGATCAGGGCACTGGTATGGGGTGTGGCAGTGATCAGGGAGCTGGTATGGGGTATGCCAGTGATCAGGGCACTAGTGTAGGGTATGGAGGTAATCAGGAGGTTGGTATTGCATATGACAGTGATCAGGGCACTGGTGTGTGGTACGGCTTATGGCGGTTATTAGAACTCTGGTATGGGGTTTGGCAATAGTCAGGAGGTTGATATGGCATATGACGGTGATCAGGGCACTGGTACAGCATATGGCGGTGATTAGGCCGCTGGTATGCAGTATGGTGGTGACCAGGACTCTGATATGGGGTATGGCAATGATCAGGAGGCTAGTATACAGTATTGTGGTGATCAGGGCACTGGTACGGTGTCGGGTAGTGTATGGCGGTGATTGGGACACTGGTATGGTGCATGGCGGTGATTGGGACACTGGTATGCAGTATGGTGGTGATCAGGATGCTGGCATGGGGTATGAGGGTGATCAGGGCACTGGTATGGTGTGTATGGCAGTAATTGGGACACTGGTATGCAGTACGGCGGTGACCAGGACTCTGATATGGTGTGTGGCAATGATCAGGATGCTGGTGTGGCGTATGGTGGTGATTAGGGCACTGGTACGGTGTATGGTGGTGATTGGGACACTGGTATGCAATATGGTGGTGACCAGGACTCTGATATGGGGTATGGAGGTGATCAGGATGCTGGTATGCAGTATGGCGGTGACCAGGACTCTGATATGGCATGTGGAAATGATCAGGATGCTGGTATGGGGTATGGCGGTGATTGGGACACTGGTATGGGGTATGGCGGTGATCAAGTCATTGGTATGGTGTATGGTGGTGATCAGGGCACTGGGACGGCATATGACGGTGATTGGGAGGCTGGTATGGGGTATGGCGGTGATCAGGTCATTGGTATGGGGTATGGCGGTGATCAGGGCACTGGTACGGCATATGATGGTGATTGGGAGGCTGGTATGGGGTATGGCGGTGATCAAGTCATTGGTATGGTGTATGGCAGTGATCAGGGCACTGGGACGGCATATGACGGTGATTGGGAGAATGGTATGGGGTATGGCGGTGATCAGGTCGTTGGTATGGGGTATGGCGGTGATCAGGGCACTGGTACGGCATATGACAGTGATTGGGAGGCTGGTATGGGGTATGGCGGTGATCAGGTCGTTGGTATGGGGTATGGCGGTGATCAGGGCACTGGTACGGCATATGACGGTGATTGGGAGGCTGGTATGGGGTATGGCGGTGATCAAGTCATTGGTATGGTGTATGGTGGTGATCAGGGCACTGGGACGGCATATGACGGTGATTGGGAGGCTGGTATGGGGTATGGCGGTGATCAAGTCATTGGTATGGTGTATGGCGGTGATCAGGGCACTGGGACGGCATATGACGGTGATTGGGAGGCTGGTATGGGGTATGGCGGTGATCAGGTCGTTGGTATGGGGTATGGCGGTGATCAGGGCACTGGTACGGCATATGACAGTGATTGGGAGGCTGGTATGGGGTATGGCGGTGATCAGGTCGTTGGTATGGGGTATGGCGGTGATCAGGTCGTTGGTATGGGGTATGACGGTGATCAGGTCGTTGGTATGATGCATGGCAGTATAACTGTGAGCACTGGTGACACTGGGACAAGAGACAGGGGCTGGCTGCACTCTTTATTCGTATTACACTGGGGACAGTGCTCAGGGACACTGGGGGTGGCTGGCACTGCAGTCTGTGAGTGTAAATGCACTGTGACAGGCTGCTGTACACTTACAGGCTGCAGCAATGGTTCTCAATGAGAGCAGAGAGATCCGAGATGCTTACTTTCAGCTTCCATTGTTTATTATGTGATTGCTGTGATTGGACACAGCAATCACATGGTAAAAGACCATGTGATCATCCGGACACACCAATCACAGAGCTCCTGGGTGCATGCTTTGTGAGCCGCACAGGAGAATCCGATGTGGACTGATGTACGTTAACCTGCATCAAACCCAAAAACAGTCCAACCAGTCTGAATATGCAAACAATCCCCCCCCCAGGATGAATCTGTCCCTGTGGCTAAAATCCCCCCTCCCAGCACAAATCTCCCCCCCCCAGCTGAAATTCTCTCTCCACAAATCCTCCCAGCACAAATCAACCCCCCAAGAAAATCACTCCGCCTAGCACACATCCTCTACCCCTCAGATTTACCCTACCATTCCAAACCCCCCCCCTCCAAGGACAAATTCCCCTCATCCCCCTCCTAACACGACCCCCCCCCCGATCTTACTGGCACAAATGCCCCAATAATCCCTACTAGCCCCCCCCCCCCCCCCCCACAAAGCCCCCCCTACTACCCCCCCCCCCCCCCCCCCCCCCCTACCCCCCCCCCCCCCCCCCCCCCCCCCTCCCCCCCAGCAAAAAAGAAAATTTCCTCACCTCGCACAAATCCCCTCCCCCCTCCACCATATCACCTCTTCTAGCACAAATCTGTTAAATTCTCCCCCTACTAGCACCATCTCGTCTTCCCCATCCATCCTTCTAACACAAACAAATCCCCCCAAATTACAACTCCTAGAACCCCCCCCCCCCCCCCCCCATTTCCCCTCCTAAAACAATTCATACACCCTGCTGCCCTCCCAAATTCCCTCCAACACAAATGCCCCCCCCCAATCTCCATGAGGAGCCCCCCACCTCACATGATACCACAGTGCCCAGGGCAGTCATCCCTCCTGCCCACCCCTTGTTCCAGCCCTCCAGCTGCATTAAAAAGGCTGTTTGATCCTGTCTTCTCTGATCCTCCCTATCTTCTACTTCCCCAATCCATCTCCTGATAAAACAAAGCCTTGGAGGCAAGCTGCACATGCTTACTTTGGTGTGTATTGCTAGAGAGGCTGCATGTGATTGGCACTGGGCCAATCAGCACTGTCCAGAGAGAGGGTCAGGGGTAACCTCATAGGAATGAAAATACTTCCTAAAAGATTAACCAGTGCTCTGCTGGACACTGATAGAAGTCACAAGACTGCTCTATACTGCTGATGAGAAAAGGGATTTAGCAGTTTATATTTACTAAAATTATGTATTTCCTGAGTACTGTGGGAGACCAGATAGTGAATGCGGGGTCCGGGGAGAGCGGATATATAGTGAATGCGGGGTCCGGGGGAGAGCGGATATAGTGAATGCGGGGTTCGGGGAAGAGCGGATATAGTGAATGCGGGGTCCGTGGAGAGCGGATATAGTGAATGCGGGGTTCCGGGGAGACCAGATAGTGAATGCGGGGGGCCCGGGGAGAGCGGATATAGTGAATGCGGGGCCCGGGGAGAGGGATATAGTGAATGAGGGGTCCGGGGGAGAGCGGATATAGTGAAATGCGGGGTCTGGGGAGAGCGGATATAGTGAAATGCGGGGTCCGGGGAGAGCGGATATAGTGAATGCGGGGTCCCGGGGAGAGCGGATATAGTGAATGCGGGGTCCGGGGAGAGCGAATATAGTGAATGCGGGGTCCGGGAAGAGCGGATATAGTGAATGCGGGGTCCCAGGGAGAGCGAACATAGTGAATGCGGGGTCTGGGGAGAGCGCGAATATAGTGAATGCGGGGTCCGGGGAGAGCGGATATAGTGAATGCGGGGTCCGGGGAGAGCGGATATAGTGAATGCGGGGTCCGGGAAGAGCGGATATAGTGAATGCGGGGTCCGTGGAGAGCGGATATAGTGAATGCGGGGTCCGGGGTAGACCAGATTATAGTGAATGCGGGGCCGGGGGTGAGGGGGGGAGAGAGCGGGGCGGGGTGAATGCGGGGCCGGGGAGAGATGGATATAGTGAATGCGGGGTCCGGGGAGAGCGGATATAGTGAATGCGGGGTCTGGTGGGGAGAGCGGATATAGTGAATGCGGGGTCCGGGGAGAGCGGATATAGTGAATGCGGGGTGCGGGGAGAGGGATATAGTGAATGCGGGGTCCAGGGGGGAGAGCGGATATAGTGAATGCGGGGTCGGGGAGAGCGGATATAGTGAATGCGGGGTCCGGGGAGAGCGAATATAGTGAATGCAGGGGGTCCTGGGGAGAGCCAGAATATAGTGAATGCGGGTCCGGGGAGAGCGGATTATAGTGAATGCGGGGGGTCGTCGGGGGAGAGCGGATTATAGTGAATGCGGGGTCCGGGGAGAGCGGATATAGTGAATGCGGGGTCCGGGGAGAGGATATAGTGAATGCGGGGTGGTGGGGAGAGCGGATATAGTGAATGCGGGGTCCGGGGAGAGCGAATATAGTGAATGCGGGGTCCGGGGGGAGAGCGGAATATAGTGAATGCGGGGTCGGGGAGAGCGGATATAGTGAATGCGGGGGTCCGGGGAGAGCGGATATAGTGAATGCGGGGTCCGGGGAGAGCGGATATAGTGAATGCGGGGACCGGTGAGAGCGGATATAGTGAATGCGGGGTCCGGGGAGAGCGGATATAGTGAATGCGGGGTCCGGGGAGAGGGGATATAGTGAATGCGGGTCCGGGGAGAGCGGATATAGTGAATGCGGGGTCCGGGGAGAGCGGATATAGTGAATGCGGGGTCCGGGGAGAGTGAATTACGGATATAGTGAATATGCGGGGTCCGGGGAGAGCAGCGGATATAGTGAATGCCGGGGTCGGGGAGAATGCGGATATAGTGATATTAGTGAATGCGGGGTCCGGGGAGAGTGGATATAGTGAATGCGGGGTCCGGGGAGAGCGGATATAGTGAATGCGGGGTCCGGGGGAGAGCGGATATAGTGAATGCGGGGTCCGGGGAGAGCGGATATAGTGAATGCGGGTCCGGGGAGAGCGGGATATAGTGAATGCGGGTCCGGGAGATAGCGGATATAGTGAATGCGGGGGTCCGGGAGAGTGGATATAGTGAATGCGGGGTCCAGGGAGAGTGGAATATAGTGAATGCGGGGTCCGGGGGAGATATAGTGAATGCGGGTGCCGGGAGAGCATAAAGTGAAATGCGGGGTCCGGGGAGAGCGGATATAGTGAATGCGGGGTCCGGGGTGGGGAGAATAGCGCGCTGGTATAAGTGAATGCGGGGTCCGGGGGGAGAGATATATTGAATGCGAGGGTCCGGGGTTAGACAACTGTTGTTAGTTAATGCGGGTACCAAATGTAGCTGTGAATGATGAACAAGAGCCTCTATAGCTTGAATTCTGAACCAGGGAGTGGATATAGTGAATTTCACTGGTCTTTAGGAATACTCTAAAGTGAATGTCCTTTTAAATGACTCCACAAAAGGTTAATTTTTTGATTGAGCAGTAGTATATAGTGATATATGCCCCCTGTCACGGACATGAGGGGTGTTAAGGCCCCCTAGTCTTAGTTCCGTAGGGTTGGGTGGGTATTGAGGTAAGTGATGGCCCCGCCCTTTCCACAGTTTCACATGACCTATTAATGGCCCCCGGGGGGACAGTCTTAAGATCGTATCCGTAGGGTTCAGGTAAAGTATTGAGTTTCTTTTGCAACCGTCCTTTGCAGCTATAACAGCTTCAATCTCTTCTGGGAAGGCCGTCCAGACAGGGAGTTTCGGAGGGTGTCTTATGAATGGAAAGGTTGGACCATATTTACCATAAGTGACATTTGTCAGGGTCAGGCACTGATTGTCGGGTAGAGTGAGGAGGGGACTCGCAGTCTAATGTCTAATTCAAATCCACTGGCTCCTTAAGTCGGATGTCTTTATGGACCTTCGCTTTGTTGCACTGGTGTGGGCAGTCATGTTGGATACATTGTGGCGGCAATGCATAGGCCAGTCCCAAACTCCATCCTGCACAAAGTTGGGAACATGAAATTTGTCCTTTAATGTTGGGTGATACCTTCTATTAAGATTTTTCTCGGAACTAGGGGCCAATAACTTAGTGACCCAATGCGTTTCCTGAACCCCACAGTGATATCCCCCTTCCGGTGGTAAACTTCTAATCGCACTTGGCACAATGCAGTCAGGAACAAGTACCATCCACAGCTCCAATGGCCACCGCAAGTCAATTTATGATGTAAGCTTTTGGTGAAAGGTGAGTTTTATCAGATTGCCAGGATAGGAAGCATGAGCGATTGGAAGCAACCCTCATAAGAACACGCATCCAACTGCTCTAGAGTGTCATCAGTGGCAACCATGATGGCTTTACACCACGGGCATCCTACGCATTGCATTGCACAAGGAGGCGATGGGTATGGCTTGGATTGCAGCTCTGCTCGGGCCAGAGAGGAACCCATTCCATGAAGCTCGGTCTTCTACGCACTGTTCTTGGTCTACATCTGAAGGATCACACCAAGTTTGGAGGTCTTTTCTAGCTTAGTATTGACTCCAGACAGTTGGCGTACTTCTGATAGTGCGACTGCTGCACTGTAGCAGTATTCAGCATGCGCTGACCCCGCCCATGTCATGTGACGTGGCCTACCACCAAAAGTGGCTGAGTGGCTCATTGGTTCCCGTGAAAGCTGTCACACTTTGTTATAATCCCACTAACAGTTGGGAGCTAATGGATTATTTAGTAGCCAGAATGTTCATCGGATGGACTTATCTGCCCAGGTGGGCCACCTATCACGGGACCTATAACTTGGATAGTCACTGAAAGCTCCTGACTATTCGACCCATTCTTTCACCAATGTTTGTAGAAGCCGTTCTGCATGGCTTATCTTAGGGGCTTGATTGTTATACATCTGATGTCTATTAAGGAGGGGAGACTTGGATACACCCTGAATCACATCTATATGGATTGGAGGCTAATCACATGATTGGTGGCAACATCTATTTATCACAATGCTTTTTATCTACTCACGAGGCGAACTACCTGAATTTATCTATCTATTGAGTATCCTTCTAGGGTTGGATCTAACACTATCTATCTAATCACATATTTATCATCTAACTATCGCTACTTTATCTATTATCTATCTATCAGATTATCTAAATAAATTCTTATTTTTTTTTTTTTAGCTATTTATTATTAAATTTCCGGACGATTGCAAAATTGAAAATCTGAGTCTTCTTCTAATCTATTCTATCTTATCTATGTCCATCTCTATTATCTACTATTATCTATCGATCTAATCTATCTATTCTATCTATAAGTCTATCTTTATAATCTATCTATCTATCGTATCTATCTATTATCTATCTATCTATCTATTCATCTATCTATATCTATTATTATTTATCTATCTTATTACTATTATCTATCTATCTATTATCTTTCTATCTATATATCTATCTATTATCTATCTATCTATTTTTATTTATCTATCTATCTATCTATCTATCTAATCTGGTTATTATCTATCTTTATTATCTATTTATCTATCTATCTATCTATCTATCTATCTATTCTATCTATCTATCTATCTATCATATCTATTTATCTTTATCTATTAACTATCATATTATCTATCTTTCATCTAATATCTATCTTATCTATCTATTATCTATCTTTCTATTATCTATCTATTATCTATCTATCTTCTATCTATCTATTTATCTATAATTATCTATCTATCTATCTATTATATCTATCTAACATCTATCTATCTAATCTATTATCTATCTATCTATCTTTTTTTATCTATCTATCTATCTATCTATCTATCTTTCTATCTATTATCTATCTATCTATCTATTTCTATCTCTTATCTTATTATTCTTTTCTTTATCTATTTATATCTTTTTTATCTATCTATTATTGTTTCTATTATTTTTTTTTTATCTTTTTTTTTCTATTTATCTATTATCTATTTATCTATCTATCTATTTATTTATTTTTTTATTTTTATTTATTTATTTTTATCTATTTAATTATCTTTTTTTTAATTTATTATTTATTATTTATTTTTTTTTTTTTTTATTTTTATCTATTATCTATTTTTTTTTTCTTATCTTTCTTTATTTTTTTATTTTTTTTCTTGTATACTTTTATTTTCTTTTTTTATTTTCTTTTTTTTTTTCTATCTTTTTTCTATCTTTTATTCTAAATCTATTTTTTTTTTTTTTTATTTTTTACTATTCTTCTTTTTATTTTTTTTTCTATATTTTTTATTCTATTTTTATTTTTTTTTCTATTTCTTTTTATTATTTTATTTTTTTTATTTTTTATTATTTTTATTTTTTTTTTTTATCTATTTTATTTATTTTTTTTTTTATTTATTTTTTTATTTTATTTTTTATTTTTATTTATCTTCTTTTTTTTTTATTATTTATTCTATTATTTATTTTTATTTTTTTTTTTTATTATCTTTTATTTTCTTTTTTTTTTTTTTATTAGATTATCCTTTTTTATATTTGTTTATCTTTTATTTTTATCTATTTTTTTTTTTTCTATTTATTTATTATCTTTTATTATTTAATTTATCTATCTATTTATATTTTCTTCTGTTTTTAGTTATTTTTATTTATTTTTTTTATTTTTATCTATTATTTATTTTTATTTATTATCTTATTATTTTTCTATTTTTTTTTCTGTTTATCTTATTTATTTCTATCTATTATTATTTATCTTTTTTTTTTTTATATTCTATTTTTCCTTTTTTTC